CAAGATCTTTATCAGGTCTTGGAGCTTTCTTTGGTACACAGACATACAGACTAAAGTTATGTTTCCTGTCCTCTCCTCCAAACTTATACACCCAATATGCAATCATGTTATAGGTAAAGACTTCCCTTCTCATTAGGAGAAAGGACAAATTAAAGACATCAACATCACTGATTTGAAGTAATTATGAAATCTCAAGAGAAGGAAAATATCACTCGTGATTTTACCAATCACCTTCAAATAATGTCTAATTTATGGATCTGTCACATCAACTATATATGCTTATGTGTAGTTTCACTCAGTTTGAAGATTTTCTTCACATTATTTTAGATTCTAGTTTTTTTAATATGGTTTAGAAAATTGACTATCCATTTTGATGAATTCTCTGTTTATTGATCATTGTAATAAAGAAAAAGTTAAGTTATACAAAATAAAAATGAAATTTATATTAGATGTAATTGTTTTAAACAACATTGAGAGTTCTAAAATGCAGAGATGAAGTCAAATTTTCTGGTGTTTACATATTTTTATGTGGATGCTAAAGCTTATATTTGTATTCTCAAGCGTAATTGCTCATTTCAGTCATATGTATTCAGATGAATCTGGAATAAATGAAGCATTTGAAATAAAGGAAACTGATCTGTAAAATAATACTTTTCTCTCCAATTAAGTTTGTAAACAACATAATTTTGCATATTACATTGTTACCTGAATTCTCAAAGTTTCATTTAATATTTTGGTTACAAGAAAAAAAAGTAAATTTTCCACTGTCAGGAATAATGCCTTGAATTGTTTTTTCAGCAACAGCTATCTTATTACAAGAAACACAATCGAATGTGTGTTCACTGATTTAACACCTAATCTAATAGTTTTGATACAGATGCATGAATGCTGAAATCGGTAAATACAAGTTAATATGTATAATATAAGAAACACGAGGAAATAAATGGGTGTCTGTCAAACAGATAATTAGATAAATCAATATCCTGAGATACATTATTACATTAAGAAGCTTTAAAGAGCAACAAGCATTTGCCAAGATTTTTTAAGCATAAAGAATCTGTATAGTGCCCTTTAAAACACATCAGAGAAATATCACTATAACCACAATGCATTTATAAAAACATAATGGTCATTTTCCTTAGTATTTGCTTGGGGGTGAGACAAAAGTAATGAAGACCAGAGTTTCTTCTGAATGCCTATTTTATAGCCATTTTTTTCATCATAATAGCACTAAAAGATTGATACTATCCAGGTTTCTTAGGTCAGCTTGACTCTGAAGATCTTTCTCCTGCACAAGATTTTAAAATAAAGCAAAGAGCTAAAATTTCTTCAGTGCTCATTACAATATTCTGTGGTTGAAAATTAAATGTGAAAAATTAAAGTTAGAGTCAGCTACATTGATATGGTACAGTGATGTTGGTTCAGTCAATGAGTAGGTTGGTGTGATTAAAAACCATTAACTTATCTTAAAAATTGTCTTCAACTGTAAAATAGGGATAAGGAATAAGTTTCAAGGATTAAGTGTATGGAATACTACATATGTATTTTCAACAGACTGCCATGGAAGAGATTTAGTAATTGCAAGCTATTATGCTTGGTCTGCAAAGGAGTATATACATTAACCTATAGTCAGACAAAAGCAACAAAAATATTTTCAGGAAAAAAAGTATTTTTAAGGAGGTAAAGTTTAGAGTTTAGAGTTTAGTTTAGAGTGGAATAGAATAGTTAAATGTAAAGTGGAATAGAATAGTATAAAATCGAAGGCAGAGAGGACAGTTAAATGTTACAAAATTGTTCCAGATGTCTGATAATACACTGAGTCAGGCTGAATGGAAACAAAATATATGAATATAGTTCCTATTTTTAAAGAGTTACAGATACTTAGAGCTAAACTATGTAACTTTACTCAGAATGTATACAAATATGCATATGTAATACTTGTTATTGCTTGGCCATGTATATTTTCTTTAATTCTGAAAAGAAAGCTCCAGCAATATAAGCAAACATTTAAATGTACTAGCTTAATTTTTTAAAGAGCAAACTGCAACTCAGAGCACTGTCTTATTTAGCAACAATTAAATGTACTATCTTAATTTTTTTAAAGAGCACATTATACTTCAGAACCAAACTTTTAACAAAAATAATCCGAATAAAATGCTAATATGTTAGGACCTCTTAGGTGATATATGTGAAGTGGGGAAAAAACCCACAATTTTGTCATAATTAATTCTCTGTCTATCCAGCTCTTTTAATGCTATCTTTGCAACAACTGAAGAACTAAACAGTCAACAACCATACTAATAATTGTAATTAATCTCAGACAAAGAAAACTTTATTCTAAACTTAAAATTATGGCTACAGTGTTTTATATATGATACCCTTCATACAACAAAACGTTATCAGGCACATTACTAAACAAGACACAAATGATTTTAAAAAATAAAGAAACAACAGAAAATAACAGGCCTATGGGGAAAATATAATAGAACTACCAAAGATGGCCTTAAAAACAACTTTCAGGAAAGGGAATGCATGATGTGTTTTGGCAGAGAGTAAAAACAAACAAAAAACCAAAAAGAAAAAAGAAAGAAGGAAATCACCTGTTAGAAATAAAAATTAAAGTACAATAACTGAAATTAATAATTTTGTAGATGTGTTTCATGGCATATTAACTACATTTGAAGGGAAAATTTTGACCTGAAGTGTGTCTGTGTGTGTGTGTGTGTGTGTGTGTGTGTATTCAGAATAATGGAAACAAAGAAAGAAATGGTTAATATACAGAAAAAACATGAGACAGAGATTATAGTTAAAAGTAGTTACAACAACCATATAATTAAAATCTAAGAATTCTAAAAGATAATGATACCAAGATATAAAGTGGATGACTCTTATTTTTTATTATTATTATTTTTTTATTTATTTCTAGGAGAGAGAGAGAGAGACAGCGCGAGCAGGGGAGGGTCAGAGAGAGAGGGAGTCACAGACTGAAACAGGCACCAGGCTCTGAGCTGGCAGTCAGCACAGAGCCCGATGCAGGGCCCGAACCCACGAACCGCAAGATCATGACCTAAGCGAAAGTCGGACGCTTAACCGACTAAGCCACCCAGGCGCCCCAATGGATGACTCTTTTAAATAAAATGTACAAGTCACCAATGAAGGATTAGAATACAAAATACATAAAGAGCTGAGAGAACTCAATGCCCAAAGAACAAATAATCCAGTTTAAAAATGGGTAGAACGAATGAATAGACATTTATCCAAAGAAGATATATAGATGGACAACAGGCACATGAAAAGGTTCTTCATATCACTCAACATTAGGGAAATACAAATGAAAACTACAATGACATATCACCTCACACCTATCGTAATGGATAAAATTTTAAAAATAAGAAAAAACAGATGTTGGTGAGGATGTGTAGAAAAAGGAACTCTCTTGCACTGTTGGTGGGAATGCCAATTGGTACAGCCATTGTGGAAAACAGAATGAAGTTTTCTCAAAAAACTAAAAATAGAACTGCCCCATAATATAGGAATTGCTCTCCTAAGTAATTACCCCCAAAATACGAAAATACTAATTCAAAGGAATACATGCACCCTGTGTTTATTGCAGCATTATTTACCATAGCCAAACTACAGAAAGAGCCTAATTGTCTATCAATAAATAAATGGATAAAGAAGCAGTAGTATATACATGCAATGGAATATTATTCAGCCATAAAGAAACAATGAAATCTTGCATTTGTGACAATACAGATGGAGCTATAGAGTATAATGTAAGTGAAATAAATCAGAGAAAGATATATAGCATATGATCTCAGTCATATGTGGAATTTAAGAAACAAAACAAATGAGCAGGGGAAAAGTGAGAGAGAGAGAGAGAGAGAGAGAGAGAGAGAGAAACCAAGAGATTAACTTAACTATAAAGAACAAACTGATAGTTACCAGAGTAGAGGTGGTGCTGGGGAGGGGTGGTGGGGGGAAAATTAGGAGATAGGGATTAAAGAGTACACTTATCATGATGAAATAAAATAAAATTATTTTTAAACGACATAAAAAGACACAATTCAATGTATTTTCCAACATAGAGGCCCACGTATTATTTGTAATTCACTGTTCACCTGGAGATAGTTCAGATATTTCAGATATTTGGATCTAGAGCAAGTTACAGTATACATTTCTTAGCCAGGAGAAAAATCTTGAGAAAATTTTCCTTAATCCAACTTGATAAACCATATTGCAAGTGGCCATTCTCCAAGATTTTGATATAAGTGGAAGATGAGAGAAGCTGAATTTCAACTTGATATTTCCTACAGACCATCTAAGACTTTCCAGAAGTACTGGAGATGGATAGTGACTGGTAAGACCATGGTCACATCCTATTCCTAAGGCACCCAAGAAAAGTGAGATAACAGGGAAAGAACTTTCACAATAGATTGTAAGGTGGAAATTAAAACACAGGTCAACTGGGGCACCTGGGTGGCTTAGTTGGTTAAGCGGCCGACTTTCACTTAGGTCATAATCTTGCGGTTCGTGGGTTCGAGCCCCGCGTCGGGCTCTGTGCTGACTGCCAGCTCAGAACCTGGAGCCTGCTTCAGTCTGTGACTCCCTCTCTCTCTGACCCTCCCCTGCTCGCGCTGTCTCTCTCTCTCTCCTAGAAATAAATAAAACATTAAAAAAAAAAAATTTAAAACACAGGTCAACTTTGAAAAGCAGCAGAGACTTCTATTACAAAATAAATTAATAAAATAAAATTAATTTAATTTAAAAATGCCAAGCAACAATGCCAAAAGCCTTTCTGAACCCCAAACAGAGTAAAGTAAAAAGTTATACCCAGGTAACAAATTTTAAAAATCTTTTAAAAATCAGCAAGGCAAGAGTCAAGGAAGTGAAGAACTTATTTCAAGGAGCATCCATAAGATAGATAGCTTTTTTTTTTTTTTTTCAGGGCAGGTTTCTAGTCGTTTATTTTCCTGTTTTTGTCTTTTTTTTTAGTTTTTATTAAATAAAAGGAACAGAGGGAGGGTGGCCTGCGGTTTCTCAGGCTGGAAGGGAGAGCCACAGGCCCCCCACTCCCTCTGCTCAAGGTGCACTGCGCAGTGAGCTTGAGGTGTAAACTGGGTGGGGAGGGCAGCCGGTAGTGCTAGGAGGGTCGGGGTCGGGACCTAGGACCCACCCAGCCCTCCCAGGAAGACTCAGTGGGCAGGGAGGGAGCCCCCTGGACCCTGGCGGGGGCTCGCCCGAGGGACTGGTGGGCCAGGGCTTGTGCTATAAGCCGTAAGGTGGGACCCCAGGCCCACTCCTGGCCACTCCAGGAGGAAGGGTCAACAACGTCCATGCGTTGGAGGGGACAGGGCTGTGGGGCAGGGCGGCCAGGCCCCTCACTCGTGGACGTCCCAGATCTCAGACAGCAGAGGCGGCAGCTTCTTGTCCTGGAGCCTCAGGGCAAAGACCTGCTCTGAGTGCACAGAGCTCAGCGCGCGCAGGCTCACAAGTTTCATCAGCATCCGGGGGAAGCGCAGCTGGTCCTGCGGCCTCTTGATGCGCGTGTAGGAGAGCAGGGCCTCCACGTAGGGCTGCTGCAGGGCCTCCACGCGGCTCGGCTCCTGCACGTTGGGCCGGTCAGCGGAGAAGATGTTGATGGCGATGAGGAGGGCGTACTCGGCGTCGTTCAGGCCCAGCCGCCGCATGGCCCGGGAGAACTCGAAGATGGGGTTGATGAACTCCACCTGCAGGCCTGCGTGGTGGAAGTCATCCTTGCTGTAGGATGCACCTACACCGGCATGCACTGCAGCCTCCTGGTCAGGCCCACCAACTCCGAGGCCAAGGGGGCCATTGACAGCTTCAAATTAGTTCCCAAGCACAAAAGAAAAGTCCAACCCAGGAAGATCTCTGCCATAACAGCCACCAGGAGACCCGGTGAGGCCAAGGAGAAGGGTCACAAGAAACCAAGGGAGGCAAAGAAGGACACCCCCAACTCAGGCGAGGTGAAAAAGGGACCCAGGAAGGCAAGAGAGGCGATGATGGGTCCTACCAAACCAGCCAAGGAGAAGGCTCCCAAGAAGGGCAGCCAGACCAAAGACCAGGAGGCAAGACTGAGTGAGGCCAAGAAGGCCTCCCAACAGCCAGACAAGGCTACGCAGCCCTTCCCAGCGCCACTGGCCCGAGAGGGAAGTCAAAGGTCACAGGCAGAAGGAGCAACCAAGATGGGGAGGCCCACGGGAAAATGAAAGCTGGGAGCTGGAGTTCAAAATCCACGGTCCCCCAGGACAAGAATACTGCTGCTCCATCGGCCAAAAAGAAAGAAAACAAGGTCCTCAAGGAAGTTGTTGCCCGTGGGGCCACGGGAGGGCCCAGGGCCAAGGCTGCTGTTCTTCCTGGGGCCGGTGGGTCTAAGACCGTGTCCGCACCCCTGGTCAGGAGGACAGAGGCCCCCAAGGGCCCTAGAAGGCCGGGTATGCCCACCAAGGCCTCATCGTCCAAATTGGCCAGTAAGAAAACAGAAGCTGAAAGCTAGAGCTGGGGTGGAAAAAGGCTGAGATTCTGCTGGAGTTTTTATTCCCCAACACACATTCACTCTATTTATTTCATTGTAACCTATTTATCAATAAAGGCTTTTTTCCCTCACCAAAAAAAAAAAAAAAAAAAAAAGACACTAAAAAGAAAAAAGAAAATTGCCAAAAGATAATGGGATGTCATCTTTGACAAGCTGAAAGAAATAATTACAAATCTAGAATTCAATGCCAAATGAAAATATCCTTCAAAATCATTCATTTTCAGGCAATGAAAATCTTACAGAATTTGTCACCTAGAAACCTATGATGAAAGAAATACTAAAGGATTTTATTTATACAAGAAGATGATTTCACAGGGACACTAGGACCCTCAGAGTTTGAGAATGATGAATAGCATAATAGCTATAAACATAGCTACATATAATGAGTGGAGTTGTACTAAACAATATTTTCATACCTCATGTAATTAACTATATATATTTGAAGTACATAGAATAGCATGATTGGAGAAGAAAGTAAAAGAAATCAAAGTGATCTAAATTCCAAAATGTTTCTGTATTATCCAAAGAAAAGTAAAAGTAATTTACTTACTGCTAGAATTTGATATGCCAAGGAAACTTGTCATAAAATCTTACTTATCTCCTAAAAGAATTTCAGTAAATAAATATAAATAATATGTAGCTACCAAAATAATACAGGGAAAAATAGAATAATAAATGTTCACCAACTACAAGCTAACCAAAAGAAAACAGGTGACTAACGTCTGAGGTCAATCTTAATAATTTATTTTAAACAAACTAACCCAAATCAAATTATTTAAAGGTGTTTTCAATATCTTCTTACTATTTTTATTTATTTGTGGGATCTGTAGGAATGTCTACTTTTCATTCTTGGTATTGATTCTTCTGTCTCTTTCTTTTTTTCTCTGATTTCTCTTTGCAAAGAACCACTTTTAGCTTTGGTAGTCTCCTTTAACAGAAGTTTTAAAACATATTTTATTATTTTTTTGCTCTTATGTTTATTATTACTTTCAGTCTGTCTTCTGAAATTCAGAAACCTATGTGGTCCAAAGGACACTGTTGAGAAAGTTAAAGTACAACCCACAAAAATGGGAGAAACGGTTGTAAATCAAGTATCTGATAAGAGATGTATATTCAAAATATATAAAGACATTTTAATATATAATATATATTAAATTTATAATATACAAATATTATATATAATTTATAATGTATATTTGTATAATGATATATTTAATATATATTAAATTTATGCATTTAAAAATGCTTTCCCACAAATTAAATTCAGGATTGAATGACTTCAGTAGTGAATCCTACCAAATATTTAAATAAATAACTAACATCACTGTTATACATGATTTTATAGTGCAACTAAACAAAATTCAATGAAAGAGAATATGACAATAGTTTAACATTTAACCTTCAATCAATTTAATTCATTATGTTAACAGAATTTAAAAATCATATACTCATTTTTATCAATATATAAATTTTTAATAAAATTAAATATCCATCATTTAAAAACTTTAACAAATGTTTATTAATAAACTAATGAATAGTTTATACAATTTGAGGTGTACATTTATGATTTGTGAACTTTGTGTGTGCTATATGGTTTAAGGAAAAGGTATAAATAGATTACACAGAACAATAAAATATTTTCAACTTTGCTTTGCTAAACTTTTAGTTTCTGAAAGTTTTTAAAAACTTTAGTGATTTATTTATTTTTGAGAGAGATAGAGCATGGTGGGTGAGGCACAGAGAGAGGGAGACAGAACCTGAAACAGGCTCCAGGCTCTGAACCATCAGCACAAAGCCTGATGCAGGGCTTGAACCCATGAACCATGAGATCATGACCTGAGCCAAAGTTGGACACTCAACTGATTGAGCCACTAAGGGGTCCCTAGTTTTTGCAAGTTTTTAGGTCCATCCAGGTTAAAAATAGATTGCTATATACTTTCTGCTTTACATTATTTTGCCTTTTATTTCTCTAAAGAGATACAGGTTTTATTAGCTTGCATAAAAATCGGTGTAAAAAATCAAATCAAAAACAAACAGACTTAGCATACCTACAATAAAAAGGAAGTTTAATTATATATTGAATGTTTATACAAATTAAAAAAGAATATGTTGCCAAAACCTCTCATCAAAGGCAGGTGTTTTCAGGGCTGACACTGTACATGCTGGTTTAAAAAATTATTTTTAATGTTTATTTTTGAGAGAGAGACAGACAGATCACAAGCAGGGGAGAGACAAAGAGAGAAGGAGACACAGAATCTGAAGCAGGCTCCAGGCTCCCAGCTGTCAGCACAGAGACTGACACAGGGCTCAAACCCACAAACCATGAGATCGTGACGAGGTGAAGTTGGATGCTCAACCAACTGAGCCACTCAGGCACCCTTGGTACATGTTGATTTAAATAGATTTCACCAAATTAGAATAGATTAGGAATGGGTTTTATAGAAGAGAAACAAAAAGGAAGCTCATCAGTGTAGGCATGCATGGATTTCTCATGCTCCTCATTATTTTGAGGAAATATGTTTCAGGTCAGGATTTCTGTTGGGTATGGGAGAGTTTAGTTGTAGAGAAAACTCCTCTCTCTATGCATCTTCCTCCAATAAAGCAACAGGGGAAAATGGTTCTAGAAATATGCAAGCTGCTTTGTACTGTTAGACCTCCCTTTCCAAAGGAGAAACACTGAGAACAAAGTCCACAAAACACAAAAGGAGTTAGTTATTCAGGTTTGTTTTAGTCTGGCCGGACGGCCCCTCCTGAGCACGTGAAAAGTCCCTGGAAGAGAACCCCAGAGAGCCATAGCTCAGGGTTTATATACATACGGAGAGGGGCGAAGCTGGTGTATAGGAGCGAGAATTTTGTGGTTAGAGGTGGGGGCTGCTTAAAAGTTGATTGAAGAACATGTTTAACCATTCTAATCACAATGTTCATTAAAGATTTACATCTCAGGGGCTTGCTGGAGTCAAGGAGGAGCTAGGTTGCTCAACCCCTGACCTTTTACCGAATAGAGTTTGATATCAAACAATGGTTGGTATTTTCCTCATTTGCAGGCCCCTCACCTTTTGGCCCAAGGGAGTTTTTACGGTACCTGGAAGTCTAGACATGGGATGTCAATGCTTCTAAAGTTCTGTGGAAACCTAGTGCCTGGCACTGGAGATGCTGGGATAGCTGGGATTTGGGGGGTTTGGGAATGTTACATGCCCCCTGTGTGGAGAGAGAAAGTCAAGGCATTCATTAAAAAACAAAACAAAATATGGCTTTATATTCTCTTATTGGGAGAAGAGGGCTTAAGACTAAATCTTAATCCTGGCAATTGATGGTGACTTTTCAGCTTACTTTAGACAATTTGCTCCTAGAATGAAAACAATGCTCTCCCGCCAATGCTCTTTTAGCAATATATTAAAACATAACACTTAGTACACAGTAGACACACAATAAATATTTGCAGAATAAATAAATGTATTTTTTGTTTCTTGTTTTTTTTGAGGAAGAAGGAGAACCTGATAGGAGTCATGCCTTGCTACAAAGGAGTTACTTCTTTCTACCCAGGAATTGGTGTTTTGTGAATTTAATAAAAGTGAATTCCATATTATAATGTCAACAGAAATCCTGAGAAAAATTTATTCCTTCTATATCAGAAATGAAATCAAAAGCCATAATTGTCCATTATTTACTTTTTTGGCTCAGGAGCAAATATACTATATGTAGGATTCTTAGGCTCTTAATTACATAAAATAATTAAAACAAAAGGAGAAATGATAAAAAGCAAATAAACATAAAACTACAGTCTAATTTCCACATACTTTAAAGCCTAACACTACATTATATGGTTCTTTTTATTGATATATTTCTATTTCTACTCTAATACAGAGAAAACTTAAAAATTAAGGCAAATATGGACAAAATTGTGTTCCAATTTAAGAATTTCTTCTCTTGAAGGAGGAAAAAAAGGTTGAGTGATAAATATTATAAATCAGCATAGAATAATATGTGCCTAAAATTGATGTGTGACAATAAGCAGAAAACAACAGAGCAAGAGCTAACACAGGCCTACTGACTGAGTTGTATTGATAGGGAAAAATCTGTTAGAAGATGGTCAATAGGAGTGATAAGGAAATACCTGTCCAGGATCAAAGGCTCCCCGTTCAGGGGTCCTCTTCCCACCCTGCTCATCGCAGAAATTACTGAGGAATGCGGAAGTAACAGGCTACAAACTATTCCTTCTGCTGATGCTCTGGGCTCAGACCTCTGGAGAATGGTCTCCTCTGAACCCACCAGTGTAAAATAAATCTCCCTTCCAAGATCTCCGAGTGCCGCTTGGTTCTTCCACCGGGTGATCCAGACCAGATTCCGTAACAGTATTTATTCCATCTAAACATACTTCACTGTTTTACTTTGCTTACCTGGTAAGGAGATGCCTTAGCCCTTTATCTTGAGAAGTCAGTGAAAATTAAAGGAGCAGTCTTCCCTGAACACTAGAAAGGATCTTAACAGAATTTAGCATGACTGGACTGATGTCGCCAAGTAAAATAGAAAATGAATTAAATTTGAAAATCAGATACATGGATGTTTCTTGTTGAAATATGTCCCAAATATCACATCATGCTTACTTAGGCTGAATATTAAGTAACTAATAAACTGCAAATCTAATCGAGCATTCCACATTTTTAATTGCAACTCTAGCCATAAAGTAGACAAAAACCACAACAAAGCCCTGAGGGCAGCAGCTATGGAAAGGTTAGTAAAGTGAAAAAAAATATTTCCACTACTACTTTTCCTCTCCCCTTCTAGGGAAACCTTCACCAAACCTATATTGAGCTGGATAGATTCTGTTTTCTAAAAAGTTGTAAAACTGTAATTTAGCCATTGAGGGCTACATACATAATTAAAAAATACATAATTTAAAAACATAATTTATGCATTTCTTCCTTTTTACTTGAACTGATCAATATCACCAGAGTAATAGGAAATATAAAAGCAGATAAAGTTGTTTTCTATCTGTTTGCTTTTATAGTTCTATTTTGGTTTTCTGGTTGGGAGTAGTTTATTTTAAATTTGT